GAATCTGAGCGTTGTGGGCTTCCAGCCAGTCCATCCCGAGCACCAGGGGAGCGGGGCATAGAGGCAATGTCCAGAGTTCGCAACTCCCGGTGCTGCTGGAAACACAGGACCAGGGGCTGGGTCTCCTGAGTAACGGCACCTGAACACAGAAGTCGTCCGTCAATCGCTTCCACCTGGACCGGTACTGGCTTGTTCCGCAGTGGCACCTGATGATGGGCGGCAAAAGCAGCGTCCATATAAGAGCGGGTTGCCCCTGAATCCACCAAAGCATGGGTGGGGATCCAGGGCCCACCTGGAGGGTATAAACGTACCGGAACCATAAGATGTTGCGAGTCCATTGATGCAGGCCCATTCTGCGCGGTTTGGGACCCCCGGCAGCTAGGGCCATCAGCTACTGGGGTTGGCGGTTTCCCTGCGGCTGGCGTTTCTCAGGGCAAGACCGAGCGAAGTGTCCACTTCCGCCACAGTAAAGACAGAGATTTCCCTCCCGACGCCGCGCCTTCTCTGCGGGGGAAGGCGTGGCCGCACTGCCCCGAGCTGCATAGGCTCCTCCGTTAAATCAGTTGTGACCGTGGGGCTGCCGGAAAAAGCTGGTGCCGTGAACTGGAAGTGTCGGCGACCCGGGCCTGACGACGATCCTCCAACCGGTCGTCTATTTGTAGACTCCGTTGAATGAGAGTGTCTAGCGTGGTGGGGCGTTCCATTGTGGCCAACTGGTCCAGTACCTCGTCCGAAAGCCCTTCGAGATACTGGTCCCGCAGTGCCGAATCATTCCAGGTCAAGTCCTGTGCCAACAGCCGAAACTCCGTGGTATATGCGGCCACCGTGGACTTGCCCTGTTTCCAACGCCGAATCGCCCAGGTGGCTGGTCTCCCTTTCTGGGGGTTGGCGACCGCGGCCTCCAACCGAGTGCGAGACGCCGTAGAGTCTGCCAGCAAGGGAGTCTTGCCTGAGTAGCGGCAACGCCCACTTGGCCGCCTGGTCCTTTAACAAACTAATCAAAAAGTGCACCTTGGTGCGGTCGTCCAGGAAAGTTCCGGGCTCGCCCCTGAATATACAGCTTGGCCTGGGCCAGGAACATGGGAAAGCTGGCCGGGGCTCCATCAAATTTCTCAGGCAAAGCCACTGGGTACTTGCCAGGAGCCGGGCGTCGGCCCCAGGAGCCGGTAGGGCTTCCAAGCGTTGTTGAAGTGCCACAACCGCGTCACTGAGCTGCTGCACGGTGTGAGTCAAGGCCTGGTTCTTCTGGGCCAAAGCCACCAGTGCAGCCGCCTGGTCAGCCATGGCCTCTGGCTCTTCCCGACGCACCCCTACGAAGGGGGAGTGCGGGTGTGGCGGGAGCAAACTGTGCTGGTCCCGGGGGTAAGGTACCTTGGGTGTAGCAGAGTCCACACGAAGAGGGGCAAGGTCCGAGGCAGAGAGCCGGGCGGGGAACAGGACTGCTGGAACAGGAGGCTGTGCAGGGAACAGGAACACCGGATGGTCGGGAACAGGAGGCCGAGCAGGGAACAGGAGTACCGGATAGTCAGGAACAGGAAGCCGAGCAGGGATCAGGAACACAGGAAGGTCCAAAGCCAGCAACGTCGTTGCTCCCGCAACCTGGGGCCGGGCTGACTGGGCTTTTATCCTCTTCTAAGGCCAGGGGCGGTCCCGGTCCCCAGGAGCCCCGCCTCCTCTGGCCTTAAGGCGAGCACTCCTCCTGGGGGCAACCAGTTCCCTTCGCCTCTCTGCCCTAAGCCTCTGCAGATCAGGAGAGGCCGAAGGGTTACTGGGCCCTGGAGGAGGCTCACCTGTGGCCACTGAGTCATCAAGCCCCTCTGGGGCCCGAAGGGCTTCACCTGGGGCCAGCTCCTGATGCACTGCCACAGGTGCAGGCTCTTCAGCATCAAGGCCTTGCCCCAGTTCAGCCGGCCCTGGAGGCGGGGACTCCTGTGCAGGCCGGGATTCCTCTGTTTCATCCTCCGAATCGGAATCCCAGGCCATCACACTATGAAATGAATGTCTCAAAGATTGCTTCATATTATAACAGCAGCAGCAACAACAAACGATACGATCCTGATGTAATAAATCCCTTGCCAAAATCTGTTTCAACCTCCGTCACACTTTTCCCTTTTGAGAACAGGGTTCAGTATTCTTTACCCCACTTTTTACCTGGTACCTCCTAAAATGGAGGATGGCAGACTCAAGTCAATCGGAAGTGTACCCACTGACTAATAAATAAATAATAATAATAATTTATTTATACGCCACCCATCTGGCTGGGTTTCCCCAGCCACTCTGCGTGGCTTCCAACAAAATATTAAAATACAATATTCTGTTAAACATTAAAAGCTTCCCTAAGACTTGAAAGGTCTTCCCTCCTCTTCCTGAATATCTGAACATCCAGCAGTTCTTATGGAGGGGTCAGGATATGGTTAATGGTGAAGAAAAGGGCACTTTGCACACTTCTTTACTACATACAGCATGTTCCAGAACCAAGACCCAGCATTAAAAAATATATCCCAGGGCTCAGCCCTAGTGAGCCCAAGCACAGTTCTTCAGCACCATCTAGAAATGGACAGCATGAGCCTAAGCATGTTCATTCAGAAATAAGTACCACTGATGCCAAAACTCTCAGAAATCTTTTCCTATATTGGTTAATGTGTGTTACCAATTGATATTCCACCTTTAAATGTCCCTATACCCACTCCAGCAACGCAGGAGAAGACACCCCTCCACCACCTTCCAACCCTATGGTGGTCCAGATGGCACTGAAACTGCATTCAGGTGCATTCTTCCAGGTATCCGTCTTGCTCATATGGCTGACATTTCTTTCACTGGCCTGATTAGTTCCATAAGTGTGCAGAGAAACGAGACAGTGAAAGAAATCTGCACTGGCGAAACTGACAAAAATTTCCCACCACTTCCATACTGTGAGGAGAGGTTAAAATGTAAAATAAGCCATTCCAAACATTGGGGGTTCGGGGAAGGAATGGGAATTGGGTGAAGAACTAAAAGTGAACTTGAGAAATCTGTTGACAGTTAACACACCCACACAATCCAAAAAGCTTGGGATGTGATTGTAAATCCACCTTCCTGCATAGCTGTTAATTGATTTAAAAACCTGCTGCAAGCACATTTATATGTACAATTCTGTCATTCACACATGCGCACCAGAAGTGGGGGGAGAGAGAGACTCAAAAGGGCTTTTAGTGGCATGTGAAATTTGTGAGAAGTTTATAATTTTCTTAAAGTGGTGCATCAGATTGTTATTACAGCCATTCCGGTGTTGATGAAGGAAATACTTTGCTTACTTGAAAAAGCCACACACACTAGGTATTAAAATTAATTTCTATACCAGTGTAAAGTGTTGATGGTATTAGTGATGGCTAAAATTCCCCCTGCTTTCCATTTTAATTAAGGCTCTGACCTTAGGCGCTCTTCTTCCAGAAATACTTCACAGAATCCTCCCACGGCATCCCCTTTGCCATGTCTGAATCAGCATGACAAATGCACAGATAGCAGCTCTGTGGTTGCAACTGAGCATCTAATAAAAATATATTCTCATGCTTTGTGGGAGGGGTTGCTTTGCATGTCAAAGCTGCAAAGTCTCCAATTATCTCTTGGTAGGGCTGGGAAAGACACAGCTGAAACCTTCGGGACTCGCTGCCAGCTAGTGTAGAAGTACTGAGCCAGATGAGCCAATGACCTGATCAGGGCCTGACTTATCATTAGGCAGGGTGAGGCAGCTGCCTCAGGTAGCAGATGCTGGGGGGACACAGAATGAGAGCAGTTCTGTTGGAGGACAGAACTGTGAACTCCATAGGTTAGCCTGCTGCCCTCAGTGGAGGTGTCTGTCTCATCACCAGGGTTGAAGTCAGATTCAAATGTCAGCCTGGTAGGCTCCTGTATGTGGAATTGGGGCAGGGGCATCTTGTGCTGCACCTCAGGCAACAAAGTGTCTTGGGCTAGACCCTGGTCTGACTGTGTGTGTGTGTGTGTGTGTGTGTGTGTGTGTGTAGTTCAGCCTTTCCTGTCCGAGGCACCAGTTTCCTCCTCCAAATGAGGAGTGGTAAAATGCTTATAATAGAGAAAAAGGGTGTATTTTTCCACCAGTCAAAATGTTTCAGGGCATTAGCTAAGGGACAATTATGTGCATGTCTTTATTTATGATAAGAGTATGTCCTCTTTTCACACATTCTTTTAAAACATATTTGTGGTCTCTTTGACAGGGGCGAGGCTGCCTCAGTCCGGCATCAAACCAATAGTCATCAGATGAGAGTTCTCCCCCCCCCCCCTAAAGTCAAGCTGTTGGGGATAGAGGCTACTCAGCTGAAGGACTGCAACAGTCAACCTTTCATAAGTGGTTATACATTCTCCTAGAGTGACCAGCATTCTGTTGCCTACAGAGATATTCTTTGTTCCATCCAAGACCTGGATTCTGGGAGTGGTCAGTTTCATAACAAAGTTGGCACCGTTTAGTGGTAGCGTAACTAGCTATAGAGCAAAAGTGCTCACGAATAGCATTAGAATTAGGAAGAATTGTGTTGTACATTTATCTATAGGTTTGGATCGAAGCTTATACGTCATTATAATCAATGGGACTTAAGTAAGTCTTGGGTCTACCCTAAATATGAGTAAGGCTCCATCTCCACTATACATTTAAAACAGTATATCATACCACTTTAAATAGGCTTGGCTGTTCCCAAAGAATAGCTTGCTAAGTGTTGAGAATTATTAGGAGGCCCCTAGTCCGTTCCATTTGTTTCTTACAACTTGAGGATAAAACATTTGGAAGCACAGGGGACCTGGAAAAATTGCTTTGGGGCTTTATCCAGCTACAAGGGCATTAGACCATCTTTACACTACTGAGAACCAGGGCTAGCATGAACCCCTCAGGTGGAGGATAAGAATCTGCCAACTCCATCTAGCTCAGTATTGTCTACACCGACTGACACAGCTCTCCAGGGATTCAGACAGAGGACATTCCCAAGCCTACCAGGGGTTGAACCTAGAACCTTCTGCATGCAAAGCAGATGCTCTTCCCTAAGCTACAGTCCAGCACCTGCCCCATTACCTGGGATGAAGTTCAATTGCTAGTCTTATCAGATTCTGTACACTGGATGAGGGAAAGGCATCTTTCACCTGAAGCAAAGACTAGAACAGATGTAGCCAATATGGTGCCTCCAGATATCTCCATTGGCTATACTGGTTGCGGATGATGGGGGTTGAAGCCCACCAACAATGTCAGCAGAACAACACGTTGGCTCTCCCTAGATTTTTCCAGATAATAATCTAAAGGCCCTATGTGCTGCTTGTATGGGAGACTAGTTCTCTGGGAACTATAGCTAAGGTTAGCAGAGAAAGAGGAGGAAAATGTGTAACACATCTGTATTAAAATGGTACAAGTTGTTCACACTGTTCATGGAGGCAATATTTTCAAGGCCGCCGTCACCTCATTTAAGCTGAGTGGAAGGTTCCAATAACATCTTCTGGCATCAGTTCTCCATGCGTCCAAGCATCTAATTCAGCCAAAGCTGCAATGAAACTGGGAAGGGAAAATCACTGAGACTGTGCCTACTTGGCCAAGTATGAGAGAGGGGAATGGAAATTTTCATTTCTTTGGGACAATCTGTGCAAAATTATCAAGCCGTCTAAAACAACAAAGGCTGTAATAACATAAGACTAAACAGAGAAGAATAATATTAAAACAAATGAGTCATCTTTCATAACATAGCCAAAACTCTGCCAAAAATGGGGAAAATGTAATATATAGACTTTTTTTAAAAAAAGCTCTTTTGTACTGTACTTTGTGAGTGTCCATTCATTTCCCACTGAAACACTGGCCAAATAGGTTAGATCAGAAACCTAAGTCTATATAAAGTGTATCATATCATTATCTTTCACAGGGGGCGGGGAGGGGAGGTTTGTCTTTGATTGTAAAATGTGCTTTCATGCTCCCCCCACCCCTCTTAGTTCCCTCAAAAAGGTGATTTCACAAATATACTCTGAATATATTGTCTGTTTCCTATAAAATGTTCATGAGCTGTGTCCCATGTCCAAAGAAGATTGCATTCACCACTTTAGATAAACAACTTGTGGCTCATTTCCCCTCACTCTGTTCTTCTAAATGCAAAGGAGTATAAACTAAATCATTGTTTGTGAGGCACACACATTCATATCTTATTCCCATCAGTTTGTCTTTGTTCAATGGCATGTTGTCATGTGGCAACCATCCTGGCCGGGCTGAATCCAGCTCATGCTTCATTTAAAAAAGGCAGGCTTCATGTTTTCTTTGAATCCCCTCTTAATTGTATTCTTCTCTCCATCAAGTAAATTACTGACAGATTAATGCCCATCTGTTCCGATTCCACACACTGGATTTTCATACAATAATATTTTTATCTCTGCCATTCTGAGAGTCGAGAGACTCCGAGGAAGCAGAACAAACGCTCCACTTTTCCTTTTCTATTTTTCTTTTAAAGTTTCAAGCTTTAGAAGGTCAAAGAGTTGAGGGTTCAAAGCGTTATTCTTAACCTCAAAGTGCTGGTCACTTGGGAGCTATGGGCAGATATGACAAGATCAGAAGAGGGACGTGTATACAAAATGTATTGTTCCTGAAGTAAGTTAAATTATTGTGTTTCTTCAACCTTTACTCTGTGCTCCCTACAAATAATGTGAAGCCTGCAATCCAAACACCGTATTATTTGAACATTATGGTTGATAGCCAGGCTTCTTTCAAATAATTTTATGAAACGATAGAGAAGAGTGCTAAAAAAAAAAAACACTTCAGAAGAAGAAGAAAAATCCCATTGGGAGACAGATGTAAGAACATTACAATGCAAACTGAATATATGGAGCAGCCTGAACTATATCCATTGATAGCTTACTTTTTACCTTTGTTGCATTGATTTTTCTCTCTCTTTCGCCTTCCAAAGTAAACCATTAATAAATTGTACTGGGAAAGCATCAGTGTTATTGGAAAGCTGTAGTAAAGGATAATAACTTTGTATGCAAAAGGGCTGTTTAACAAGATTGTGCCCTTGAACTGCTCACATGACTGTATCAGCCACTCTCATTTACTAATGGACATTTTATGGTAGCCAACTCAACCCCCTCCCAATTTCCCATGCCTATCTCTACTAGCATTTATAGTGAATATTTTGCTATTATGTCCCTGAAAGTCACTTTAGGGTATGCTTGTTAAGAGAGGTGCATCTAGGTCTGTCCCCCCTCCATATTTTTTTTTAAAAAAGAAAGGCCTTCTGCCCTATGCCTCAATTCTGTCTGCGGGTTGTGTCCAGTTCCCACCGCCCCTAATCGATCATAATCCTTGGTGGGGTTGATGAGAGCTGCAGTCCAACATTTGGACATCACCGTGTTGGCGATAATATTACCTCATTTTTGTTTTGACAAAGGACATGGCCAGTATTAGGAGATGTAATGCTAAAGGGTTGCAGAGAAAAGGAGGAGTGGAAGTATAAGCTTTACCACAGGTTCCCACCCACCTCTACCTGCATTTCACCCACTACAGTGGTACCTCAGGTTACATACGCTTCAGGTTACAGACTCCGCTAACCCAAAAATAGTGCTTCAGGTTAAGAACTTTGCTTCAGGATGAGAACAGAAGTTGTGCTCCGGCGGCGCAGCAGCAGTGGGAGGCCCCATTAGCTAAAGTGGTGCTTCAGGTTAAGAACAGTTTCAGGTTAAGTACGGACCTTCAGAACGAATTATGTACTTAACCTGAGGTACCACTGTATATACAACTGAAAGGAAATCAGTAACCAACTCTAATCTTGAGTTACAGCCAATTTGACCTTCTAGTAGTCATGAATTCAGCACCATAAATGTGCGGCATTTGGCTTTGCACTGCAGCAGCCCTGTTCACCATCCTCTGTTCACCATTATATAATCAAAAACAAGCTTTAAAATACTATCAAATAAGTTGCATTTGCCATGCTCCCAGGCAACCACTCTTATCATCTTGCAAACTATAAAGCAAAAGGAATAATCTTTAGAGTCCTTAAATTTACTTTTCATGAGGACACACCATCACTCTCTCTATCAAAACGGAATGCCTGGTGTGTGTTTTTTAAGGCAAGTGAGATGATTCATAATCAGATTACTTTTAACAGTTTAATGCAAAAAGGGGGGGGAAATGAAGCGTGAACATTACTGCCTGACTCTAGAGTAAACCGGTCCCCCAGCATTATGCAAAATAATCTGCAACATTTAAATCTTTTAAGGATATTCTTTATACATTTTAAAATACATATTTTTGTGCCTTGCATGGGGCAGAACTTTTTATCCTGAAACTGTCAAGATGATAAAGGCAACAGCACACATTTTAAATCCCTCTTTTAGAAAGATAGTAAATGATGTAGGCAAACACTTAAAAGAGAGCTTGGGAATTTTCTTCAGGCACTTCTTATGCCATTGAAGCAACCAAGAGCAAAGCAGGAAATACTTTGTTTTCTTAAACTTGTATTAATTTATGGTGTTGAAGGTTAAGTGGCAAGTGAATTGAACTATCTGAATTCTTACAGTGGGAAAAAAAAGTCTTTTAAAAATTGAGAGATATGAAGAAGCTTCTCTCCTACCCTGCTTTCACTTATATTGATGGACTGTGAAGGTCAAAGACAGATTGATCTGCAGAGCCCAGTAAAAGTTAGAAGTAATTTAATTAGAGTTGTCCAAATCTGAAAATCTTCTAATCCACTTATATACTTAATGCCAGAGGGAAAATGTATCTGTAGATGGCCATAGTTTCCACAGTGGCACATAACTGTAATTGAGAAATATTCAGCAAATGATTTCATAAAAGTCTTCTTTTTAAAAGTATTCAAGTAAAATTCCCACCAAAATGAAAGCAGTATTGTACTGTACATGCAAAACCACAGTTGAGTTTTGTAACACAAAGCAAAGATTTCCCTAGAGCAAATGGAGTCACTGTGGTTTATCAAATGTGTACATATTGGTTCCAATACAAGGCTGCTTGGTCAACTGATTGCTTGAAATATTTCTAAACCACCCAATATCCAAATGTATCCCAGGGCAGTGCACAGTGGGCATGAATACAGTAATTCACATCAGATACAAATATAACAAAATACAAAGAATCAGCATTTGTGAACTAAAACTAAGAGACGGCAACAAAAAAATTGTTTACTTTGTTTTACTATGTTTATATATGCTGAAAGCCACCCAGAGTGGCTGGGGCAACCCAGTCAGATGGCCAGGGTACAAATAATAAGTTATTATTACTATTATATGCTTAAATAAGTTTTTTAGGTATACATTTGGGATTTTAACCAGAAACCATATGGTGACCATAGGTGCAGGTTTGCCCACAGAGGTTTTTCCTTCTTCTGTCCACAGAGTCTCTTCCTCCACTGAACTTAGGCTTGAAATAAACATTTTAATGTAGCCAATAGAATAAGTGGTAGTGTTTGTTTGGTTGCTCTGTGTGTGTGTGTGTGTGTGTGTGTGGTGGTCACAATTGCTTTCTCCAGTTAGCAAATGTGCCCATTCGTAGTTACAGTAGTTCACCATCGTTGGAATGCTATCCCTAGGGTGAGTGCCCCTCCCCCGATGCCAACTTTTATAATAATAAATTTATTATTTGTACCCTGCCCATCTGACTGGGTTGCCCCAGCCACTCTGGGCAGTTTCCAACATATATAAAAACATAATAAAACATTAAACATTAAATAAACTTCCCTATATCATCCTTTTAACATCAGGAAAGGACATGTTTGTTTTTCCAAACATTTGGCTCAATGGATGTTTATAGTCTATGTTTTTAAATATGGTTATGCATGTTGATTACTGCATTGCACTCTGTAAACCACTAGGACTTTTTTTGTAGTGTGAAGTGATATATAAATTCAATGCATCCAACTTCACCTTTTCTGTGTGCAGAAGTAGGCTTCCAAATACAGGATCTGCATTTGGATAGGGAACTGTACATGCAAGGTTTTTGCCATCGGATGCCTATGCATGGATTGGGCTGAAAGGCACAGTACATAACCCGAATTATTGGATATGAGGAAAGGTAAGGGGACTGGATTAAAACTCAGAAGGGACTGGATCAAGGGACACTCCTCCTCATTGACAGTCCTTCTGGATTCTAACCAGAACCTTAGGATTCGATCCTTTGGAACTTGGCAAAACTGTTTGAGGTGGGGGGACAGGTATATACATAGGAACATTGAAGCATGTGGCCTACTTTGCAAGAAGTTTTGAGAGCTTCAGGTTTTACTTACAGTAGCACACACAGCCACCACAAACTGGACTTACAATCTGGACATCTTTGGAGAAGTGACCATAACTCAATGGTGGAGCATCTGTTTTGCCTGCAGATGGTCCCAACTTCAACCTCATGTAGAGCGTGGAGAAGCGCCCCTATCTTCATAACCTTCTAGTCTTATAGACAATACTAAGGTAGATGGACCAGTGTATGGCAATTTCATATGTGCATATGTATATAGAATGCTGGTCACAGTGAAATGATTACTTCTTCTGCCTAGGAATTGAGTTAAAACTTAGCTAAGCACACATATATATAATTGAACAGAAATAGGTTTAATAATGTTTAGTTAAATGTTTTGGCTTCTTCCTTCCTCAGCAACACAGCTGGGATTTTAAAAAAAGAAAGAAAGATATAACTTAGGCAGAGGAACATGCAACAGGACTCAACTGAGCCCCTGACTAAAGAAAGCCAGAAACAGAAGTGATGAGTAGTCATAAATAAAAGAACTAGGAAACACCATCGCAGGAAAAGGTCTGGAATGAAAGAACGAATATAGTTTTGCTGATCTGAATAACATTTAGATAGGAACTGAAACTTCTGAAGTTAGGTCTGAATGAAATTTGCACTCTACGGTTCACAAATTCAGAGTTTACTATTTTATAACAGTTTGTTATGATCTCCTTGACATTATTATTTGAAATAGTGCTAGCAGTGAGACAGCCAAACCACTGCAGCATTGCAATTAATATGACAAGGCCCAGCTGTTAAGCGCTCTCAATGAAGCTTCCTTGTTTATAGCTAAACCATATTAATGGGTATTATTTTAAGTGAATTGAAGCTGCAAATATTATTCCTGTATTTCCTCTTGCTCTGTAGGCCCAGGCTTCCCACTACCACCACAGGTCCTTAAACTTGGTCTGAGCATTACACCAACTGATGCCAAGATTCTAATCTTTACTTTTAGAGCTCTCCACCTCTCTGGATCCAATCGTATCTCTCCTTTATTCTCCCTTGCTCCTCCTCTTTCTCCTCCATCCCTCACAATATCATTTATTGTGAATTGTCTTCTCCCATTCTTTTTGCTCCATGCCTCTTGTCATCATGCAACCTTTGCCCAGAAGAGTCTCTGTCTGACTGATTGCCAGGCTACCTTCCTCTGGGCTTTCCTCAACCCATTATTTTCACAAATGTTCTTAATCACTTAATTTGGAGGCTGATGTTTAACCCTCCATCAGCAGATGGGATCAAGTGCATCATGACAGCGATTGGGATGGGGGGGGGAAGAATCCTAAAATGTTTGTTTCAGCAGTCCAGAACTTTGATTTTCAAGTAATGCTCAACCATGATAAAGTGTAGGGGAGTTTTCCTCCTACATGGGCATCCCTCTCCTTATACCAGCCATTTCCCCAGTCTTTCTTGCTCACAAATCTCAACAGCAACATTTTGGGCTTTCAAGAATATTTGGCCCATCATGTATCAAAGAAAAGCAGGACAGTGCTTCTCTTTTTCAGCCCAGGATAATGTGGGCATAGCAAAAGGTGTCTCTTCCCAATAGACCTATCTAATAGCAGAGACATCACCTTGCCAACAAAGGTCTGTATATTTAAAGCTATGGTTTTCCCAGTAGTGATGTATGGAAGTGAGAGCTGGACCATAAAGAAGGCTGATCGCTGAAGAATTGATGCTTTTGAATTATGGTGCTGGAGGAGACTCTTGAGAGTCCCATGGACTGCAAGAAGATCAAATGCATCCATTCTTAAGGAAATCAGCCCTGAGTGCTCACTGGAAGGACAGATCCTGAAGCTGAGGCTCCAATACTTTGGCCACCTCATGAGAAGAGAAGACTCCCTGGAAAAGACCCTCATGTTGGGAAAGATTGAGGGCACAAGAAGAAGGGGACGACAGAGGACGAGATGGTTGGACAGTGTTCTCGAAGCTACAAACATGAGTCTGACCAAACTGTGGGAGGCAGTGGAAGACAGGAGTGCCTGGCATGCTCTGGTCCATGGGGTCACGAAGAGTCAGACACGACTAAACGACTAAACAACAACTGTAGAGTGGGTTGAGTCTACACACATGGGCAGATTGCCTGTGATGTCAGTAGAGGCCGCCTCAAAACTGGTAGGGCTACCATTCCTGACACCAAGAATGGTGTCATCTCTGTGCCTGAAACAATGACAAAAAAATCACTGCAACAAAATGCTTAAGAACATGTGCTATATGCTTCAAGTATCTTTTTTCTTTTCCTACTCATGCAGTTGTTTGTTTTAGCATAGGCTGTTCGGGTAATGGAGGAGTGCCATAACTCAGCAACATCAGCTGTTTTGCCCGCAGAAAGCTTTGATCTCTTATGTCTCCAGATAGAATCATAGAATTGTAGAGATGGAAGGGATCCCAGGGGTCATTTAGCCCACCCCTGCAATGCAGGAATCTTTCATCCAACATGGGGCTCAAACCCACGACCTGGAGATCATGAGTCTCATGCTCTACCAATAGGGCTGGGAGAGGCTTCTGCCTGGAAGTTGGAAAGTCAGGTAAAGAAACTGACTTCACATAGAAATATCACTGGGAAAAAGAAAGGGGGAGTGGCTCAACAAATGAAATGGCTTTGTAAAAATGTTACATGGGGAAAAAAATACGAGGCATTACACTTACTTCTGTAAAACAAGAAAATCCTTAATAAAATATTAGAAAAGAAATATCACTGGGGTCTTTTCTTTCTATCTGAGATTGGACATAAATTGATTTAATAGTTACTACATATTCCAGTTAACTTGAGAATTACAGCATTGTGATGGGAGTAAGATGGCTAAGGGTCTCTTAAAAGAAAACTCTCAGCACCCACACCAAACCCACACATAACCCCCAGAATTCTTTGGATAAAGCTCTCACAGTTGTCAGTTCACATTTATTTTTCGATATCAGTTTGTATTTTCTGCGTGATAGTTTTGATTTCGTGCTCTCTATAAAAATATAAAAATAAAAGAATGTATCTCTGTGTACACATTTTTAGGGTAGAGATATGTCCCCAGAGCCAAATTTACCAAAATGTGAAAATCTGCATTCAGGTCAAATCCTTGCCGAGGAATAACACTCTCAGAAAACAACTATATGCTGCATTTTCAGGTTACTAGATTTATTCTAAAAGTATATAATGTACACTATACTCCCCTTCAGGGAATTCCTTGGGCTATTGGATTTCCTGAAGAATTTCATGTGGGCAGCACACTCATCATGATAAATATGGTGAGGTGGTGATAACTATTGCCTATCCAAGATCTCTCTCTGTCTAGTGGGACTTTTCTAAGCTGCTAATAATATGGTTTATTCTCCCACACGGGCAAATTTCCTGAGTCCAACAAGCTGAGTCCAATTCTGAATTGGGCTGTTAGAACCATAGTCAGTGAAAAGTCATGCATGAGGTTGTCTTTAAAAAAAATAAAATGCAGGTCTAAAGACATGAATGATAAAATATAGGAGCCATGGCAACCTCCTCTCCAGAACTCTGATAATGCATCAGAAATGAGGCGATTATAATTATTAATTCACATTAGCAGCTATTAAAATTACTACCTGCAGATTCACAGCCTGCAAAACCCTTTTCTGCTTGTGAGAGGCAGCCCGGATGCAGAAGGGGCTATGCCAGCAAAGAGGAGAGCGTGGCATTGTGAGCAAGACATAGGAAGTCCAACGGATAATAAAGCCCGTATTGAGCTTTATGTAGCTGCTTTGTAATGCAAGGGAAGCAGATGTAATACTTTACTGTTTTAATGATGGCAAAGAACCAATCTGACTTCGCTGGCACTAACAAGAGCTGAACTCTGACTGGTTTTCTGGAAGCTCACACTAGAAATTCAACTTCAGGCTGTTTCGTTACATTCCAAGCAGCATACAAAATATCCCACCATGGTGGGTAATAAACAAAACTAACAGAATGAAAAATCAGTTGAAGATTTGAGCCAGACCTGTAGGAAAGGCTCAGGAAATGGTGTCGGCTCTTGGCTCCCTCCCTTCCAGTCCTCACTCATTTAACTCAAAAATGCAATTGCATGCTGTTTCAAGTGAAAAAAAGAAACAGCATTAAACAGAGGCCACAGTGGGATATAATCAGGGGAAGCAGCAACAAAGCAAAGAAAGAACTTTTCCTTTATGGAAATGAGCAGTAGAGAAGCAACACATGAGCAGCAGTAAAAGCCAAGGAGGTTTGGGGAAATGTAACAGGCAGCAAGAGAACATTGCACTGGGCCATGAATATCAGAGGCCTACAAAGTGCTCTCAGATGTCCCAAGATCAAACAATGCCCTGGGCCCAATGGACTTTGGTGGGGTGGGTCAAGACCCACAAGCGAATCACAACTTTTCCAAAAGTATGTTGCATAAATGACATCATCACTACACACCTACACACACACACACACACACGGCTGCTAGCCTTGTTTGCTTTGCTCGCCAACCCCCACCCCACCCCCTTCACCAACCCCATCTTCTTCCTCCCTTTACCTCCTCACAGCTGCTTCAAGCCCCGCATAGCCTCACAATTCCTTTGTGTCCCTCCATCCCTGCTGTATTCAAACCACCTGGCAGAAGAGCATTTGTTAAAGCCCAGTGTTTGCGCAACAGCTATTCTACAACTGCCAACTGTTCAATTTAATGGATCAACACCATTGCTCGCATTTTTGGGCTCAGCAAAGGGGAATAGCTGTAGGATAGGTCACGATGTGCTCCTGCATTTCAGAATTAAACACTATGAACGGTATGGAAGAAAAGTTGTCCTCTAGCCATTTGCTTCTCCAGCATTTCACACAGCTTCTGGTGTTCATTCCACTTCATTGCTATCCGTCCCACTTATCCGTCCTTCAAGCCAGGACAGATCAAAGAATGTACTTCTCCACACACCACATAGTTCAACTATGGAACTTGCTCTCATGGGAGCCAGCGATGGTCACCAACTTGGATGGCTTTAAAAGAGGATTGGACAAATTCATGGAGGATGAGGCTATCAATGGCTACTAGCCATGATGGTTAAGCTGTGCCCCCATGGTCAGAGACAGTAATGCTTCTGAATACCAGCTGCTAGAAACCACAAGAGGGGAGAATGTGCATGTGCTGGGGTCCTGATTGCAGGTTTCCCCACAGGCATCTGGTTGGCCACTTTGATACCAGGATGCTGGACTAGATGGCCCATTGGCCTGATCCAACAGGCTCTTACGTTCAAGTCTAGTATGAAGCCAGAGTAGTGGAACGAGGCAATGCCCTGCTTTAAGTGCCTGCGCTGGGTATGACTCACTCAGCTTAATTTTTATGCTACCATCTACATGAGGGATTGTTTCAATTTCTTCTTACAGTCTTCACTAGGAAAGCAGTGTGAGACTCTTATCAGCTGCAGCTTTAGGTTTCTGTTTGGAAGGCTACAAGGACACTCTTTATTTCCTCATAGCTCTCTCAGAGGCCTGAACTAATTAGTACTTATTAGAAAACAAATTAGAATGCATTTTATTTCTCCATATGGCAAAAGTGCGATCTACAGCACAAGGGTGGGGTGGCAGTGGAGCTCAGCTAATGACTTACGATGAATAATTTATTTGACAAGTGCCTTTTTTCCTCAGATTGTTCAGGAACAGATTATTTTAATAAATGTATTCAATATACAGAATGACTTAGCGGCCCTTGTTCATTAAGTTATGTGAATAAATACAATATACCGTAGCTCATAATGCAAGCGGTGCTTTGTATTTGGCAATGAGCCTTCACATTTTCATTTGCTCGGGAAGTTGTTTTATAGGAAAAGGAAGCGCAACAGAAGCACCATAACAAAACACTCTCTACTAAAAGACAGAAAAAGAGAAAATTATTCCCCCATTCCCTCTCATTGGCTGAAAATAATCGCAATGATTGTAGTTACTCTGGTAGAAAATAGATTTGGGTTGGGCCTGAATTCAATAGGGTTTGTACGCTATTATTGGAAGGACCAAAGAGACAGGGAAAAGGTGAAAAGTTGTGTTTGCATGGCTTAGTTGCTGACTTGAAATAATCAACCCAAGCCTTGACTGTAGCCTCTTATCTCATAATGCTTCAACTTCCTCTTCTGCAGCCGGTGTGATGTTCAGATCAGCCATTTCTTCAGGGCTGCATTCCCTTCTAGACAACCTTCTGAGGTCCACATGCCAGTGATGGGCAAGGCAAAAAATGGGTGAAACAATTAATGTACTGTATTTTTCCATGTATAAGCCTAGGTTTTTTTCCTTAAAAATAATGTCAAAAAGCACAGCTTCCATTCTAAGCCTCTGCAGGGATGGCTCTCCTGCCAAGGAGGCTTGGGAGGCAAGCTGCACGCTCGCCAGCCATATGGTTGATGGGGCACAGCTGGAGGGCATGCAGGAGGGAAAGGGGAGGCCGCTGGCAAAGCCGCACAGCTTCCCCACTCACTGGGGTGCCCCTGAGAGGTCAGCGCCCTGCCGCAACGCACCAGTAAACCCAATGGGAAAGACGGCTCTGTATACAGAAGCAGCATTCACAGAGATAGCCATATCCATTCATAGAGGACCAAATCCCAACCAGTTCAGGCAACAAATGTCAAAATCCAAATCTTTAAATATCTCAACTTTATATAAACGGTTTCCTAGCATAATGACCAATAGAGAGAGAGAGAGTATGAGAATTAAATAATGTGCAAATTGCACGAGACAGATGTTATCTGAAGCCAATGTCTGAGCCAGTTGCATTTTGACTATGGAGTCTTCTTCAGTGACAGGTAGTCAATGGAGAACATCAACTTGAACATGAGCCCAGAATACACGGTCTTTAAAAAATAACGTAGCAAAATTTATACTACATGTTTGTGAAACTAATGATCATCTTACAAGCTATAGCTTATATAGAACTGGAGCACTCAAAATGTTTGTAACATGCTGCAACAAAATTATTTTACAGATTGAAAAATATAGACCTCGTAGCATTTCAAAGTGCAGCACTGGACACATCTCTGCCGGGACATTATTCCTTAGGGGTTCCCCAATTTAACAGGATCACCCATGTGACTAATTGAAGAAAGCACAGCTGTGAGGACAAAATGCTAAAAGCAGCAACAGAGAAGTGAAGCAGCAGCCACTCCCACCGTTTAGTATTTGGGGGGGGGGGACATTTAGTCCATGCTTGAAAGCACCATTTTCAACCTGAAAATTGAAACAGAGAAATTTGATTCCGCTGTAGGTATGATCCACAGGGAAGATCTCTCGCTGAAACTCCATTGCAATGAATAGTAGCTGCTCAAATGCATGATCGTCCTTTTACAGCTCTTATTCATCCCAACGGAGTTTACGCGGAAGAAATTCTTGTGAATTGTCCCCAATATGTCTGCTCTTCCTGAATTTTGTAGCTTAACATTATTAGTTGGAAACTACCTCTAACGCTGTTCTTCTTCCAGCGCATTCTGATTGCCTAAGGCAAAGTCCTGGGAATTTCCCTCTGGGAAAGCACATGTATGGCTTTAAGTTACAATTTAGCCTTC